TAGGAACATCATGCTAGCACGCACCATCTCATAAAAGGTAAAAACATGTAGTCGTAACATATTGACCTGTCATTTGCATACTAGACGGCAATAGTTGACAATCCTGGGCAAATGGAACAATTTGAGTGATTTTGAGCGTGGACAGATCGTTGGGGTCCGGAGGGCAGATGCCAGTATTTCCAAAACTTATTGGATGTTCTCATATCACTGTGTCAAGGGTGACATGTCAGAGATTCCAGAGGTGAGCATTGCGTGTTAAGACTAATATCTGAACTGTTGTGTCGGTTTTTTTTAAACGTGTAAAAACTTAACGACCAAGGGTTCGATCAGGGCGCGCAAAACCTGACTACATGTGAGCGCGAGATTCGGGAATGTTTTTTGTTCAGGACAGTCGAACGAGCAGGACGTGAACGGAGTCCAGTCAGGACCGTTATAACCATCTAACTTGTATTTCTTTGTGTGAGATTAAACGAAAGTTACGCGATTAGAGATCATTACATTTCTAAGATCTAAACATGAACAAAGACGTATCATAGTGGAAAAGCATGTCCGATAGTACAACAGTGAATAAGAAAAATGGGTTTTGATAATGATCATGCGACGTACCTTGCGTTGAGTAGGTTTCAATAGCCATCAACCTGCACATGCACGTTTGTTGACCACACGTCATCACAAGTAATGCCTCGCTGTGTGAGGGAAAGATGTCATTAGATTTTAGACATGTGGAAGAAGGCTGTCTGGGGTGATAAGTCCCATTTTCTGCTGAACCATGCTGATGGATGGATCTGAATCTGACATAAACAATAATGTGAGAGCCGAATTTAACGAAAAAAAAATTGTTGTCAGGAAACCATTAAAAGAAAAAATTTATTATTAGAAATTCTTTAAAAAATTCTTGTTGTTTAACCAAGATAATTATTACTTCAAAAACGCACTGCTTAATCCGGCAATAAATAGTTTCCCACGGACTTAGTTCCTTGTTGGGAGTGACACATCAAATGACTTAGTTCCTTGTTGGGAATGACACTTTGACTCAACGGGTGAAACTCGTTGATTGGATCATAAATACAAAAACACCGAAGAAGTAATGGGAAAAACCCAGAAGAGACCCGTATAAAAAAAAGGGGACGATGACGTTCGAGGCTTTTTTCCGTCATCGGCCGTGAATCTTCTTACTATGTATGTGTGTGTGTGCGTCCCACCACCGCCGTTCCTTAATCACAAATCTGGATTAGCACCTGAACTTTACCTGGATTACCGTCGGAACTTGACCTGGATCTACATCTCAACCATCTGAATTTAACCTGAACTAATTCCAGAAGCTAATTGTAACGAAGATCCTTATCGAAGACCCACTCGGATTACAGGTATTTTGTCGTCACGCGAATATTTTGTAAACCCTCTCTTTCGAGTTGTTAAGATTTCTTCGAACTCCTTATTAATAGGTATCCGAAACGTAACCCTGTAAATAGCTTCCTAAATAAATGTATTTGGTAAATGAATAATCCTGTGGTGAGCACTTCCTCCGGAATCCTCCTCCCGTCCCCATTTCGAATCTAAGCTACTTACGCGAGCGCTCACGCGAGAACGAAACGGTTTCTGTCTGTCCGCAAAGACGCAGTGGTGCCAGTCTTGACGAATTAGTCATTGCAGTCTTCGACGACGCGATGTCGACCCTTCGGTCCTGTGGTACTAAAGCATAGGGGGGATCCTTCGGCATTGTCACAATAAGGAAAGGGAAGAAGGCCGTACTCGTAGGTGTAGCCTTTAAAAGGGGATGAAAGGAAAATATCGAGGGAAAGAATGAGAGAAAGATTTGTGGCAGGGGCCAAGAGGGTGAAAATGTTGAAGAATAAGGAGAAGGGGATTTTGACATAAACAGCATGAAACCATTTCCTGGTTGCACAGTGGTATTAAATAAGCTGGGGGTGATAATATCTTGGTCTGGGAGTATTCTCCGAGGAAGTCCTAGGGCCTTTGGGTGTCATCCCACAACCCCTGAATGGGGAAGGATGCAGGAATCTGTTAGGTAATCATCTGCACCCATATCTCCATGCAATGTTACCTGACAACAATGCCATGTTTCAAGATGATAACGCACAGTGTCATCAGCTGAGGCTAATTTGGGAATGATTGGAAGAACGTGACAACGAATGACAAACACTGCTTTGGTGCGCAAACTCACCAGACTGAAATCCTATTGAACATGTTTTGGATATGCTGGAACAGGTGGTGAGGTTGTCACCCACTCTTCAGCAAAATGTGCATCAACTGACAAAACTGCTCTAGCAGAGATTGATCCAATTAAGAATGGAGTATGTTCGACACCTGATAGCTACCATGCCCTGGCATTTACAAGTCGTTATTACCCAGAAAGGTGGATTAACCTGTTATTAGACAGGTGTTCCTAATGCAGTAGTAATCGTTCAGTATATAATTCCTAATTTTATTGTAATATACTATTGCGTTATTATTTTATCGATTATAATATCGTGATTGTTTTAATCATAATTTCTCTACACGTTATGATATCAGTTATTAGTATTTTATTAACTAATCAATTTATGATTTGCACAAAGCAGTCAAGTCTCATTTTACAAAATTCTTTACCTACTTTATAATATCAATATATTGTACTGTACATGATTCAGAATTTATCGAAGATTTACGCTTATGTACAATGTAGAAACTAGAGTCACTGACAGCGTTTATTATATATGTAGGGATAATGATCGAAATAGAGAACTAGAAATAACAATAATCTTCCAGCGTTCAGCTAAATCTTCCAACTGTCTTCAAACTGTCTCAAAACCATCTTATCGATAAAACGATGATATTCTACTGCGGCGACAAATCACGGACTGGTGAGATGGCGCCACTCCTCTACGAGTTTCCCGGGAATCCGGATAGAAAAACGGGAACTGGGTTTTTCCCAGAGGGAGAATTCTGGGTATTGTTGCTTCTTCTGGTCGGGTGATCGCTGCCATGAGCACGTGTAGCTCTCTTTCAAGTGTATTCGNTTCCATAAACAATAATATTCATATTAAACTAAACAGTAAAACATTGACGATGTATTCGCTTCACAGTTTATAAGTAAAATCTAGCCATGTACAGTGATATAATGTCCAAAAATCTTTACTAAAATAATGATAAAAAGCATAAAAACTGCATTTGGTAAATAGAATCTTTGTACTGTAATCTGATAATCGTCATTAAACACATCCTTCAACTCTTCTTGTGTTTTCCTAGCGACATTCTTCAGTTACAGATTTATTGGTGGATAATAAAAGTTTTGCGTGAACTAAGATACGAGAATGGCGTCAAACGTTATATTCTGACTCAAATTAAACATTACAGAATTAGAACTAATAATTCTGGAAATTCCTTCTTCAACATTTTATACCACAAATTACAGCTTCATTTAAAACCCGAAAAAAAGAAACAAATTGTAATTAATTGAGATTATGTATTTATACGCATTAGATAAATTGAATTAAAGTAAAATTATATACATCTTTCAAACTGCTTCCAGCAACCATTTTAGAAACGAGTGGATCAGATATTGATTAATTTTACGAAGAATATATTTCCCATCCATTTATCACGTTTTACAGCTTCCATTACAGAATTAAAAATTATATAAACTCAAACATTTCTTATCTTTTTTTTTTGAAAAATGTGAATTTACTACTTTCTTGAAGATATTTTTAACCTACTTGCATTTTTTCTACACTAATGAAGGTACTTGATTCAACGAAAAGACACATCAGCTTACATCCTAGGCCATTTATATACTGTACATATCATTCCATTTGATAATAAAGGTTCTCTGAAAAAAATCTCGTATTTTGCCTCGTACCTTCTGTTTTTTCTTCCCAATATAATCATCAATGAGATTTTCATATTGAATTAAGGCTATAAAACAATGTTAAATTTAAGTATGTGGATATTTATACATACTGACTATATGTTCCCATATTCCGGTCGGATACTGACTGTATGCGCTATTATTACAATTAATATTTTGATAATAACTACACAATTATAAATGATTATAGTTTTATTTATTAACAGTTACAATGTTGTTCAATAAAGTAATAAATAAACTATGAAGTATCATTAAATTACTGAAATATAGGTAATGAAATTTAAAGCAGATTGGTAGGTATATCAATAAAATAAAATAAAAATATTATTTGTTATTCTTTATTTTAATTTTTTTTTTTTTTTTTTTTTTTTTTAAAAAGAAG